GGTAAGAATTCTGTATACCATACCCTGCTCTTCATCTCTCCTGTTTCCTTTTGTATCACCAGTGTTAACATTTACAACATGCTAAGTAACCATGGCTAAGCAATTCTTGCTTGTCTACAGAACTATAAAACTGGTAAACAGCATTTATGTTACATCTATGTAAACAGTATTTACTGCCCAGGAAAGTTGTATTCTATGACTATACTTGGTTTTTGTGTGTAACCTTTTTATCATATACCCCACTGCATTACACATCACCTTTTTACTTTTATCTTGAATCTACCTTAATCTATCTTGAGTCTACCTTGATGGCACCATCAAAACTTGTTCTTTCAGCATTTCCAGAATACTTTCAAATCGAGAACTACTTTTTTTTCCATAGGCAGTTTTTTCTCCTACAGTGCTGAGGTCAGGCAGGCCTGCTACACAGCTGTCATCCTGGAAGTGCCTTCATTGCATTCTGACTCAGTTCCACTGTTTCATAGATCCAACCAGCTCCAATTTCTTAGATAATTCTCTTATTTTGCTGGCTTATATTCTCAAGTAATATCCTTAAAAAGAGTATTTGGGAAGCAAAGTTTTATTAGTTTAATTTTATTTTTCATCCTGCCTCCATATTTTATCAACAGTTGGGCTTGTTACAGAATTCAAAGTTCAAAGCCATTTTCCCTAAGAACTTTCATGGCATTGCTTATAACCTAGTACCCAACCCTGTTGATGAGAAGTCTGTTGCTAGCCTGATCCTCATTCCTTTATGGAGGTCTTGACTTTGCTCTCTGGAAGGTTTTATAATCTTTACTCTTGCTATCCTTATATTTCATGATATTTTATGAGTTCTTTTTTCCTTTTTCCTGGCCAGTACTCAATAGATCTTTTACATTTGCTAACTTATGTCTCCCTTTAGTTCTGAAATTTTTTTGTTAAATAAGTTTCATCTAACCTCTTTCTCTATTCTCATTTTCGGTGTCGAAAACCTAGATTAATTCTTAGAATTTATCTCATCTGTCTTTCTTCTCTACTTTTCCCCTTTAGTCTTATAGTAATGCAAATAGAGCCTACCAATTTACCTTACAGACAATGAGACAGAAAAGAACCACTCATAACTCATGTTTATCCCTTCCATTTGGTTAAAAGTTTACCCAACATCAGCCCTTCTAGGTTTACTGGGTCTTACCTATGATTGTGTATTCACTCCTACTATAAGCCAAGATCTTGTCTCAGTGCTGAGTATACAATAGTGAACAACGAAGAAAGTTCCTAACCCCCTGGACTGACTTTGCATGAATAATAGCGGGAGACAAACAATAAAAAAATTAAAATACTGCATGTCAAGTATAATTCTAGTGTCAGCAGCTCTAGCAGCAGCTTTCTGATTTTGTAGGCAGCTTTTATTCACAGACAGCAGCTCCCTTGGTGGCCCACTCTTACAGTATGACTTCAGAAATTTTTCTGAGAGTTCTGCATGTTTCTTCAGTCCTCCTAAAATTCTGCAAAATATGTAATACTTGCAAGAAATTTGTTTTATCCTTAAATTGGCTGGTGTAAATTCTACAAATTCTGTTCTCTGCAACTGAACCAACTACTACAATTCAGTACTAATAAAAATAAATTGTACTTTTTTTTTTTTGGCAAGAGGCCCCCTTGGTATTTTTCTGTCCCCTGAGCTCAAACTGAAGGAGCAAACATCTTGAGTTCTCAGTACTGCTCCTGTCCCTAATGTTGTATGAACTCAAAGAAACATTCCTACTATCTGCCACTTAGAGAACTGAACTAATGAGAATACCAAGCTGACAGCTAAACAAAGGTATTCATTGTACCAAAAAGTATTAATGCGCTTGAGGATTACAAATCTGAAAGGCATCTGAGCTTCCCAGAGTTTCAAGTTAATAAAGGAAGAACTGGTTTTTTAGAGTGGTTTCCAGAACCTTCTGAATCTTATACTGTCAAATTACTGCCTTTTATGACATGGTTTATGGGCAGACTTGCCTAGAATTTATGAAATGCAATAGTTTATTCTGAGTAGCTTACATGAAAATTTTTTGTTTGCTTCTAGAAAATGCATACACATAGTCTTAGCTTGAGTTGCCATAACAAAATATCATAGACGGGGTGACTTAAACAGCAGAAATTAATTTTCTCACAATTCTGGAGGCTGGGAAGTCTGAGACCAAGGTACCAGAAGATTGGTTCCTGGTAAGGGCTCCCTTCCCAGCTTGTCACTTTCTTGCTATGTCCACACATGAAGGAAAGTGAGCTCTGGATCTGGTGCAGTGGCTCATGCCTGTAATTGCAGCACTTGGGGAGGCCAAGGTGGGAGCACTGCTTGAGCCCAGGATTTTGAGGCCAACGTAGGCAACATAGTGGGACTTTGTCTCTACAGAAAATAAAATTAGTTGGGTGTAGTGGCACACGCCTATAGTCTCAGCTACTCAGGAGACTAAAGTGGAAGAATTGCCTGAGCCCAGAAGTCAAGGCTATGTTGAGCTGTGATCATGCCACTACACTTCAGCCTAGGTGACAGAGTGAGACTCTGAAAAGAAAGAGAGAAAGAAAAAGGAAGAGAGCAAGCTCTGATCTCCTCTTCTTCTAAGGAAAGAGCCTATCAGATTAGGGCTCCACCCTTATAACCTCATTTAACCTTAGTTACCTCTTTATAGGCCTATCTCCAATATAGTCACATTGTGGGGATTAGAGTTTCAACATATTAATTTTGAAGGGAACGTTTCAGTTCATAACACATACTTTCCAGAATTTTGCTTTTAGAAAAATGTCAAAATATTTTATATTATTATTGATAACCATAAAAACTAACATGTATTGGCTATTCAATGAGGCAGGCACGGTTGTCCTTTTACAAATGTTTTCTTATTTACTCACAGCCAATGAAATCCTATTATTCTTATTTTATAGATGAGGAACTGATGATCAGAGATGCTAAGTACCTTCTCCAAGATCACACAGCTAGCATAGTAAAGATTCCAACAATCTTAGCCACTACACTATAATCTAATGTATAAAACACTGGTACATTATATATCAGTTGTTCAGTAAGGATTCTACAACCAGGTGACACTGGAGACCCAGAAGGTACCATGAACTGGCACGGTTACACGTGAGATAAGCCCCAACTTAAATGTACTGCTGTGGGCACTGAAAGGAGGACTGAGTTCCTATCCTGCAGGTGTTGGAGTTTCGGATTACGTCCTAATTTGTACTCTCACTAACAATATCTGAGTCTGTTTCCCCACAACTTCAGCAACCCTGGGTTTTATATTTAAATAAGACATCCCTTACAACTTCAAATTAAAAATACAAAAATACTAACATGCCCCATTTGCTACAAGAAAACTCCTCTTTGTAGTCATTGTGGCCTGGTTTCATCACAAGCCATTTACAAGTGTACACTATGATAACAAGTTCAAATGGTTAAATGAAAACCAAATTAAGCCTAATGTTTTGTTTTGGTTTTTTTTTTTTTGAGTCACGGCTCACCATAGCTTCGACCCCTTAAGATCAGGCAATCCATGTCAGCCTCACAGAGTGCTAGGATTATAGGCATGAGCCACGGCACCCGACCCCTAAAATTTGATATGCCCACTTTATTATTTGGCCTGAAAATACTGCAAGAAATAACATAAAGCCATTAAAAAAATTATACAAAGTACTTATAAACATTCTGATAGTGTCACATACTATCCTCATTATTTGAATTAGATTGGCATAGCTTTCAGGAATTTAGGTCCTTTAAAAAGATAATAGTATGGGGAAACTCCCTCGGGTCCTCTCCACTCTGGGAGCTTTTCTGTCCTCTCAATAAATCCTGCTTTCAAAAATAATAATAATGGTATGATATCAATGGAAAAATAACTACATGCTTCACTTTCAGAAACAACATTAAAGTGAAATGAACTTGTTAAACTGTCATAAGTTTAAAAAAACCCAGAATTTTTAAAAAATGGCAAATATACTCTTCGATTGTATAATCCTGGAGGCAGGCTGAATCTTCTGATTTCCTTTTAAGCTCAACAGAATCTAAAATACCTGCTAATCACAAGTAGTTCAATGACAACATCAGTAAGACTTAAGAGAACATGTTTTTAAAAAACTGTATTTAAAAATATAAACACGTATCTTACATTTCAACAGCAAAAAAACAAAAACAAAAAACCCAAGGCTTTTTTTGGGAAAGGGGATAGAACAGTAGATGTAATTGGTCCCTCCTAGTTGTCACCCCACAACCCCCTCTAATTTTCGACAAACACTGAATAGGGGCACTCACTATTCAGTACTTGTCTAATTCCCAAATGCATCTCAGTCGCCTGCAGTCACCGAAAAAGCAGCACGCGTTCCCGCCCTTCCCTTTCTCCTAACTGATCCGATGGGTGAGGGGCGGACCTGAACACCCGGATTTTTAACCAGCGATGCAGGTAATTCTCACGCTCGTGGATGTTTGGGAGCCACTTACTTAAAGAAGGGAGGCAGGGAGGCTGACCCTTTCCAGGAAGCCGGACTTCCATAACAGAAGCTTTGGGGGCGGAACTCGGGCACCTGTGGTTTGGTGAGTCCCCCCGGGTGACTGGGAGGGGAGTCGGGGGGAGGGAAGCTCCCGGCGTTAGCACCCAGGCCCGCGCGAGATAAAGCCCAAAGCCGGGTTCCCAGGCCGGGCGGCTCGGCCTTGGCCGGGGTCCTCGGCGAGGTGGCGGAGGCCGCGCGGTACGCAGGGATTTCCCTCCAACCGTCCCGCGGGCCCGGGCGAGCAGCTTGCTCCTCTTCCGCCCGCCCTCGGCCCTCGCGGCGCTCGTCCACCGGCCTCCTCAAGTCCCAAGTC